ACAACCCCAAATAAAAAAAAAAAAAAAAAAAAAAAAAAAAAAAAAAGTTTTCACACCCTAGAACTAATTCACCTATAGTCAAGTTACAACCAGAACTTTAAATGTATTTTATTGGGACTTTTTGTGATAAAGCAACACAAAGTAAAAGTAACCCAGGCGGCCGCACAAAATCCTCAAGAGCTTAAAATTAATGTTTTGTTTTTTTAAACTACTTTGTGTCAATCTGTCCCATAAAATCCCATTGAAGTTGGTAGCTGTAACGTCACTAAACGTGCAAATGTCTGAGTGGAGTGACTACTTTTGCAAGTGTTGTGAAGAAAATCTTCTGAAAGGCTTCATCACAATGAGCTCATAAAGAATAATGATAAAAAAAAAAGACATTTCTTAAACTCGTATAAGGCTTCCAGGGATCCAGCCTGGAATGCAGCCAGTGTCAGGACGAGAACTCTACAGTAAATACTAAAGTCAGATTGTAGTTTTACCGTCACTCATGTCTATCATCACATGTAGGCCACTTGTCAGTCTCACCTGGCAGCTCAAACACTCTGAGAAAGGCATTACTCACCCCAGAGGAGGGGAAATTATCGGATGATTGTTACGTTTGACATTTCATGTAACTTTGGATTGAAAAAAAGCAAACAAAAATGTCACTTTTCAGCTTAAAGCGAGTCATTACAACAGAAAAGACCATCCAGTTTTGCACTGACATGAATAGTGATTGAGACCAATCTAGACATATATATTTTTATATATATAGAAAATAAAGACATTAAATTATAAGTGCAATCAAATAAAAGCAGATGAATTTAATGGTTATATACCTTTCAAGTTATTAATGCATGATTAATTAAATTAGACTGTAAACCTTACAGTCTGTAAAATATACTATAGCTATTCACTTCTCAACATTCATTATTTTCTAATTTGTTTTTTACAAAAAAAAAAAAAAAAAAAAAAAAAAAAAAAATCCAAACTGAACTGGTTTTGTTCCATTCAGGAGCCGCGCCGTGCAGAAATAAGCAAAAGGCCAAAAGAGGTGGGTGGGCCGAGCGAAGCGTTGGAGAGTCAGAGGAGGGGGTGGTGGGGTCGAAAATGACTTTTGAGGGTGGCAGGAACTTTTGTCTTTTGAAATCAAGAACCCAGGGGGACACATTTTTAGAGACGAACATCATGCAGAGTCGTCAACTTTAACCGTTGTCTTGGAAAACATTCACGGTTCCAGTTTTCGAGCCGGCTCCAAACATTCAACGAAATCTGCTGTGAGAACTGAGAAGGGAGGAGAAAAACAGAAACAAAACAAAAATAAAGGCCGTAGAGCATTTATGGGTAGAAATACCTGGTGTCGTTGAGGTTACAGTTATACAAATTTGCTCTCTTGCTTCACATGCTGCCAGTGGAGCACCTCTGCAGTGACTTTGTTTCTGTTTTGTTTTTTTTCCAGACGGAGCTACAACATAGCCATGCTCTCTGGGGTGCAGTTGAGGTGTGTGGACGTGCTGCTGCCGCCGGGGGACTTCAGGCCCTTGGTGGCCCCGCCCAGCGTCGACGCCCTGGACATGGGGTCCATGATGACCCCCGAGCCGTGCTGGCTCTGCTGCAGGCCGGCCATCATGGTCTCGGTGGTGACGGTGCCGAACTCATAGGTGAAGGTGCCGTAGAAGACCAGGATGTCCACGGTGAAGACCCACTCGCAGATGGCGGCGGCGTGCTGCAGGACGAAGCTCTCGTGGATGAAGAAGATGCCGCCTGGAGGGAGGACGGGTTAAGGAGGACAGACGCAGAGAGTCGACGGGAAAATGAGGCCGTTATCCCCTCTGCAGCGTGGTGGACAGCAGCTCAGACGTGCCACAGCAGGTCCTGTCTGCCCCAGGCTGTCAGACTTTATGATACACACAGTCTGTAGAGATGTGCGTTTTAAATGCTGAATATATATTTGGTAATGTACTGAGCAACATGTGCGTCCCCTTGGGACTATCACTGCTCATTGTTATTCATTATTGCTCTTTGTTTATTCTTATTACATTATTTTAATTTTTATTGTGTACCATGCTGGGAGTAACAAAATTTCCCCCAATTAAGGGATCAATAAAGTGTTATCTTGTTTTTTTTTTTTATATATATCTCATTTCTGGATCTTATTCTGCTGGTTTGAAACTCGGCAGACGTCGAATGAGCTCGCTGCTTCCAGCAGTTTTAGAACGATCTCTTCCTGAAAACTAACGCAGAGCTGGAAAAACGTTGTAGAAATGTAGGGCTGTTAATCGCCAATGCTAACTCAGCAAATGGACTGACGGAGTAACACAGAACCGTCCAAGAAGTCCTGAGAGAGAAAGAGGTCATGTTGAGAAAAGGTTTTCGATTCCTAAGTTAATTGGTTCAACTACAGAATTTATATTGACAGACAACTGAGGTGGTCACAATAGTGACAGCTAGCATGAAGAGTAACGAGCCATCAAGGCTGCAAACATCCCTGATTAATAAATCAAACGCACCCTTTAACAGAATATGTGAAACTTGCATTAAGGGTCAACTCCTGAGTCTGTAAAGGTCAAATCCCGATGATTTCTGACATCCCAACCGATTTACAGAGGATACTGAGGACCAGGGAGACCATGGCTCCCAGCGCCAGAGCCACCCGGAAGTGAGCCATCCAGTAGTCCAGGGCGGTCACAGCCACTCGGTAGGTGAGGACGCACTGCAAGCACACAAACAGCAGCCCTGCAGGAAACGCCACACCGGCGCCCACGTAATGGAGAGACTTGGCATGATCAACCTGTCGGACAGAAAAACAAACGTTTCATACCAACTGGAGGATCTGAGCCAGTTAAGTCGAGTGTCCTGCATGTTTTCAATGTTTTCTTAGGTCAGGACACCTTCCTGCATCATGTCCAACCTCTGTGGACTAGAGTCAGACATCCCCGGTTTGAAGTCTACATAAAACTTTACGTATTGCTCAGGATTACCTGGAAGTTTCCAACCATGACCAGACCGATGGCGTTGGTGCAGCCTGACACCAGTGCGCTGGTGTTGACCCAACACTGGTGGCTGTGTTCGATCACCTGGGCGTAGCGCAGGAAGCACACCATCACCACTGCAAAGGGGAGGAAAAGAGACATGTGCATTAAAAACAAGCCCGAAACATTTTAATAAGATTGTATTAATCCTATGGTTTCACAATTGATAATATAGTAGACTTGGTTCGATTGAAGAACAAAACTGCAACATTTGTTACGTTTTTAGTCGGTACTGTGAAGCAAAACAGTTTGAAAGACCCGTTCCCCTCCTCGCCTGTGGTGGCGCTGCATCAAGAACTACTGAAGGAAACGACGCAAAAACCCGTCGTTTCTTCAGAGAAGACACTGAGCTCAACTTCCTTCTTCTTGAAATGGAAATGGAGCAGCGTCGGATGTTAGCGGTTGTAGGATTTCTCTTTTGTTTTGAAAAGACCACGAGCCATTTGTTTAGACACTCGTGTAGATTTAGGTCGTTTTTACCCAGAATGCCCTGTGCTGTGGCCCACTTCCTGCTTTTGGCGTTCACATATGCAGTTTGTTTTTTAGGTTCGCATCAGAGTTCGATTACGCATTCATGTAGTATTCACTTCATTTTTTACTACCAAGTTAGTAAAGGAATAAAAATGAATGAATGGCTGCCAGGTAGTAGCTTCCATCCTTCTGCTGATGCAAGACTATCCGATATGTTTCTCCAGAGCGGCAGGATGTGTTCTCCCAGCCACTGATCCATCTAAAAGCAGAACGGAGCAGCAGCTTTCTTTTCAGCTGTCCTGTCCGTGTTTGAAAACAATAACCTTGCAGCTTCCTGAATCACACCGACAAGAGAACCGGAAGCTTGACCCAAAACACGCTGAAATTTGGAGCAGCGAGAGAAAGGACGTGTGTAGAGAAATGCTAATTAAAGGAGATCAGACTAGAAGGAGGGCGGATAAACAGAAACCAGCTGGGAAGGAGAGGTGACTGGAATGATGTAAACAGCTGGAGCGAGGCAATCAGGACCAGTGAGGGGGAAAAGTGGGCCAGAAGTGACTGGTGTTTAAACAAGACAAGAGGAGAGGAAGAGTAATGGATGAAGGCCCCGAAAGGTGCAGGAAGGGGGGGAGGGATGGACATGGGGAAGTGGAAGGAAAGCTGCATTCATTATTGATTAGGCAGCAGCCATATCTGGAAGTCCCATGGCTATTGGCTGAAGTCTGGAGGTACCAGGCAGAATGACTGCAAACAGAGGAGACATTTAGTACTTTGCATCTCAAAATATATCGACCTATTTCAGATTAATAATGAGCAAACAGTTCTCTTTTTACATAGCAGTGACTGTGATTACCCCAGAGGACGCAGCTCACACGATGGAGGCATCTGGGACAGTTTCATATTTGTGCACCGACACCTCTAAATCACACTTTCTTGATTTATTTAAAATTGGGCTCAGATCAAAAATTATTGTTCGGGTGACAAATTGAAACAAGGCGGCTGCGCTCAGAAACGATTAACCCCATAGCTTCTGTAAAACCACATAATTATTGATTAGCTAGCTGCTGCCGCCAAGGAAAACACCTGACGAGGCATTCCCATCCATTTGCAGTTATGCTAAGCTAACTTCCTGTCACGTAAATCTGTAGACAATCTTTAGGGTGTCACTAAAGATCGTCTGAGTCTCCTTAAGTAAATCTTTAATGTGCTTTAATGTGCTGCCATCCAACCCCATCCTCAGACTCGGTACACCAGAGCAATCGGAGTCAGTCGGAGCGTGTCGGTCTTGATGAATTATTCCTCGACCACATTCCATTTTCCCAACACGTTTAGCTTAAAACTGAATTTGTGTGTCTGTGATCAATACGGCGTTTTACAGCCTGGGCAGCAGCTCCTTTCACAGGGCTGAATGAATGGAGACAAGGCAGCCGCGTCAGCAGAAATGTGACCAGGAACACAAACACAAGGACGAGTGGACGGAACCAGGAGTGTCCAAAGCGTGGCCCGAGGCCCATTTGCGGCCCCTTTACTGATTCTCTGTGGCCCGCCAGAACAGGTGTTTTTGTTTTAATGGAGCAAAATTATTACAGAAATTAACATTTTCTACAGGGGAAAATATTAAGTCCAAAGTAAAGTATTTGTCTTTTAGCAATCATGTTTTGTGCTTTATCAACTGACTTATACATAGAGAGCCTGTTAATTAATTTGGTTAACCTGGCTTTATATAGCAAGCATTTATAAAGAGAGAGTCAAAATTCTGTCCTTCTGGCTGAAATAGGCTGAATGTTGTTTTTCATCTGAGTCCAAAAGATTTTAAAAACAGGATTTCTTTCAATTCAAATTCAAAAATACTTTATTGATCCCAAAGGGAAATTAAATGCTGTTTAACTCATCTCAATTCAGATTCTTCAAAAGAGTTATTGTAGATGGTGACAATGACACTTTGGCATGAGAGATCTCTTGTAGCAGTCCTGAATTTTCTTGGTTTTATGAAGAACTCAAAAACTCAAGGTTCTGGATCTACAATGATTTTAACTTCCCTACGACAAAAACTAACTTCTTTATTTAATTATAATTACTGTATGTTCAGTTTATCATTGAGCAGTGGAAAAAATACTGTAATTTCTTGTGGTTTAAGACATATTTTTGGCCTGCCTGTACTTTTGACTGACCATTTTAAAAACAACTTATAGTTTAATGGACATAAATGTTTGCTACTCATTCAGCAAATGTGTTTCAAACTCCCTTTTAGTGAATTAACTCTTTTTTTTAAGTCAAAAACTAATAATTTCTAAAATAATGATATTTAAAACACCCTAAAACTGTCCATATCATTTCCAATTGTTCATTTCCATATTTCTGTCCACTGCTTGTTTATTGATAGAATCAATAAATATTAACATGAAAATATGATTGAATGCAGTTGCTGTGTGCAAGATAGTGACATAAATCACATTGAGGCTTTGACTGCTGCAACACAGTCAGAGCCATATAGTTACCTAAAGTAGTAGTAAATAGTTCTTATTGTCACTTGTATATTATCATAATAGTACCACAAAATATCACGATAAAACTTCAAGTTCACATCAAATTAAATCTCTTATCTATATTCCCATTTTTTGTCTCAGTTTAATCTGTTAAAAAAAGAAAAAACACTGTTTTCCAAATCAGAACCAGCATCCATTACTTGCATCCACGCACTGAAGATTAGTTGAGGACGTACCCATAAAGGCTCCAACGTTGCCAATCAGGCTGAACAAACAGCTTTCAGGAGGGAATGAGCCACATTTACTGCAGGACAAAAAAAACGACAGTCCAGATTTTAAAACCGCAGAAATGCACACACACACCTACACTTATCCTGCTGAACAGCTCTTAAGTGATCAAAAACAGTTTAGCTAATTTCATTTGAATATGAAGCTGAATTTTAACGAGTGCTTGTGAATCAATATTTTTATATAAAAGTAAAAAACAACAGGAAAAAGAGCTTCAGGTCCCATTGTGCCTTTCCCTTTGTACTTGCCCATCGTTGGAGGCCTACAGTCAGATTCCACGAACTGGAGTTATGCAAAGTGTGGGTTAATGACCGACACAGAGCAGCAGCACAACCAGATGCAAATTCATGCCCGAGGCCCTTCCCGACACAAGCTGCTGTTTGTGTTCTGAGACAAAGAGGAGAAGTGCAGAGGCGGAGGAGCCGACCTGATGAGGGGGATGTCCTGGATGGTGCAGCAGGTCTTGGGGAAGCCAGGCCGGGGCAACTCCTCTGTGCATGTGACGTTGTAAGACCTGCAGCGGCGACACAATGAGGTCAGCTCACTCTCTGGAGGTACAGCGCCTCGCAAATTTATCATGTCCTTTAACTTTATCCAAGTTGCACCAACTTCAGTGTGTTTTGCTGTGATTTTATGCGGGATTAAGGCGTATTTGATTCTTTTGCTAGTAAAAAAATAAAAATGCGAAACATGTGGCGTGAGTTTGTATTCATCTGAAGTTCCAAAGTGAAAGCCAGAGATGAGGCGTGCATTTCAGAAACACTGCGTTTTAAAAAGGATCGACGAGAAGAAAAGCCACAAAAATTTAATTTTAAAGTTTGTCACAAGGAATGCAGAGGATACAGCTGGGGATGCAACTAACAATTATCTTAGTAATAGATTATTATGATGATTAATTGGATAAAAAATTGGCACATTCTGCAGATTTTTTTTATTTAACCACTTCAGCCTTTTTTATACAATATTACAAATACATTGAAAACTGCAAACAAATAATTAAATTTATATTTTTTGTTTTATTGCCAAAGATGCAATATCATAACATTGTCACAGATTAAAAATTGGATAGCAAAAGTTGAGATTTTTTTTTCTTTTTTTGTCAGAATTTGAATCATATGAAGCCAAAACTAGACATACGAGTAGATCATTTTTATAGGCAAATTATTTTTTCAATCTTTATTACAAAATGTGTATATATTTTTGTACAGTTTTAGTTTAATTATTGCTCTGAATATGTTGTCATTTCAGCTAATGTTGTTTTTTTTTGCATCTGTAAACTCCAGTTAACGATTAATCACTCACTAAATTAGTTGATTATTTCAATAATGGATTGATTAATCGTTTCAGCCCCTAAACACAGCAAACTTGTAAGATGGTACTCTGGTCAGAGGAGATCAAAACTGAACACACCATCCCTATTATGAAATACGGTAGTGGCACATTGTGCTGTGGGGCAGCTTTCTTCCACTTTGACAGGGAAGTTGGTCAGACTTGATAGGAAGAATGATGTAGCTAAAAAAGGGAAGCAAACCAACTAGAGAGGTTCACTTTCTAGCATAACAAGCACCTCAAATGTTTAAATTAAAGCACGTTCCTTTATTGGAAAGGCCTAGTTAAAGTCTGGACCAAAAATCTGCCTGGGAATCTGTGGTAAGACATGAAAATTGAGGCTCACGCATTACGCACACCAATCTCACACCACATCACAGTTCTGCACAGCTTTATGTTGGTGGGTCTATTTCCCAATAAAATACTTGGAACATTAATTTTAGAAAATGTGAAAAGAAAAATGTTTAATGAATAATTTTTGTAGGGCTCTTGAATACATCTAAATGTTAAACAGGAAGATGTTTTAAAAAACAAAAAAAAAACAAAAAAAAAACACCCACCAGTTCTCTACAGGACAAACATGGTGATTCATCACAGCCATCGCATACCTGCAGGAAACAAAAGGTCAGAAGTGTTAAAGGGAGAAACACATCATGACAGACCCAATAAAGCTCAAAGTACAAAAAAACAAGCTTAGACTTTAAAAAAAAAACATAAAACCTTACCAAGTATTTCTTATAGTTTCTAGTGCAAATATCTTAGTACACTTAAAATAAGACAAAACTAACTTGCATGTAACTATTCAGCACGAAATAGCTTGTTTCGAATCAATAATTCCTTAATATTGATGAAGCAGCAATAGTTCAACTGGAAGATTATTTCACTTATAACACAGGAAAAATGTATTGTTACAATTAAATAATCTACCAGTGGTATTTAGTGCTATTTTCATTAAAATTATGGAATTATTTACCAAGAACAAGCTCCTCTATCTCGCTGAAAAGCTACTTGTAAGCTAGTTTTGTCTCATTTCAAGTGTACGAAGATGTTTTCACGAGAAACTAAACTACAAATACTTCAGATTGTGTGTTTTTGCAGCGTTCTCTCCCGGACAAACGGTTCACAAGAGTTAAAGCGCAGGTGACAGGCACTCCTCAGCCGTGACTCACACTATCCATATTCCTGTGATGGAGAAGGCAGCCAAGCTGACAGGCAGGACGATCCAGGCAGTCATTGGGCTGGCAGTGAGCTGGCTTTGTCCCAAGCATGGGGTGAGAAGGGAACTCGGGGCTTGGGCGGCAACACGACGGGATGGGTCAGGTAGGGGCTGGGTGGGGGTGTGGGGTCACTGATAGGCTGGGAGACGCACACAGGGGGGAGCATGAGAGGACGAATGGGGGGGGGTATGGCACAGCTCCTCTGCTCCACGGCACCCAGCAACCAGCAACAACCTTAAAAAACAAGAGTGATTGGAAACTTTCCGTTAGGCAGCTTTATTCAGGCGGTGCTTTCTACGACCAGGCGTACCTCTAACGTTTTTAGTTTTTATTGTTGCAATCATTGTCTGTAATTTGCGTGTTTTTCCTTTCTGGGAAAAACTACAAAGTGGAGAAAGAGAAACTAATCGGACATCGGCAAAAACAAAAACTTTGAAAAACATTCCTCTTCCAAGTCTCTCTGGTTGGCATTCAAAGCCTCCGATTTCTCCTATCGGTGCTGAACATCGGCACAAAGCCGGTTTACAGAGAAACGACCTTGTTGCTTACTGTAAATTAAAACATCCTGCTAGACAACTCCACTGCGTTGGAGTGGAGCTGCGCTTCCACTGCAAACCCAACACAATCCCGGTATGGCTGACAAGCACAGAACCAGCAAAATCACCAGAAAACACATTTAAAGGAGACAGTAAAGTGCAAATAACAACCTACAAATTGCTTTCAGAGGACAGCGTACAACAACTGTGGGGAATGAGTGTTTCGTCAAGGGCAGGCAGTTTAGTGTTGACAGTCGGAGCAAAACAGCACAGCAGAGGTTGCTTCACTCTACAGGGTGTAGAGTTACAAACGTGTCCTCGGCTCAGAGGGACTATAGAGTGAATAAAGATTAACTTGTGGGCTTTACAGAGGGGAATCATTTTCTAAAAGTGTGTGCAAATCAAACTGGAGCTGTTAAAAAAAAAAAAAAAAAGAGAAATGTTTTGCTTCTGCAAAGTCAGACGTGGTAAATATGTTCTCGGTGTCAGTCACTTGTGAGCATGCCAACTTAAAGTTTGAAATGTTGCTGTAATAAGGGAATTTTTTTCAGGAGTGAAGTTTTCTGACCGATTTTTAAGAAGCCTTACCTGCCGATTCCTTTGTTGGCTGATGCAGATTTTTTAATAAGTGACATGGTCAGGGGCTATAAGGTCATTCAGTGTTTCAATCTTATATTAACACAGTCATTTAAAACACACAGAGAAGGTGAGCTAACACCTCCTAATGCAAAGAACCTCAATCAAAGAGGGAGTTTATTGGCCATTTTGAAACCATGTGTGCTCAATCATTTTGGAAATGAATCATAAACGTATTTATTTTTTTGGTGAAGTGTTCTTAGAACGCCATAGATGCTTTTTTGCTGGGACTAAATACCAGTAGATAGAAGTGACTGCAGAGTTATTGATGAGTCAGTATGGCGCACAATTATCCTGTTGTGGACCAGAAAGTACTGAGGAAATATAGAAAGAATTCTTTGTGTTATCACCTTGAATTTACAAAACAATTTTTTTTTCTAATCTCATGTTATTTTTCTGGTAGGGAGATTTTTAAACACTTAACTTTAGAGACACATTATGTTCTTCTGCATTGCAACATCCCTTCAGTTTAACTGTAGAAATGCACAGGCCTGCCACGATAACAGATTTAGCTGAACGATAAAAATTGTCCAAGAAGTTATTGCGATAAACGATAATATTGTTGTTTTGACCATTTTCCAGTGATATAATAGTAATGCAAGAACACATCCACGTCAAAGATCAGTAATCTTTAAATTCTAATGAACAATTAACACTGGAACTGGGAGACATTTTAAATATAAAAAAAAACAACAGAAACAACAAATAAAATTAACTTTGAAGTTTCTGTGAACAAAATTGTCCTTCAAAAAAGTCTAGTTGAGAAGAAAGCACCAGACTGAACATTTTTGTCAGCTAATTGTTGGTGAAAGACAAAGAAAGGAGAAAAACAATAAAACATGCAAACTGAAATGATTGCAGGTTTTTCTTTTATGTATTATGTGATTAATTGATTTCTTGCTTATTGCACACGTAAATTGTTTTAGAAAAGGGGGAAAAACATTCAATAATGTTCTGTAATGCAACAAATGCTCAGAGATCAGATTTATTTTGATGGATACCAAGATCACAGTTTTTTTTAGTCCCTTTTCTTCAATAATCATGCAGCTCTGGTTAAAAGTTGAGAGGTTAATTGTTTCCTGACATAAAGCCCAATAACAGAAGAGGACACAGAGTGAGTTGTCCCAACCTCCCAGCCCATCTGCCACATGAGCTCCTCCATCTGCAAGGACACAAACAGTCTTTGAGTTACCGACTCCAGAGACCGCATCAGACAGCGGCTGAGAAGAGTTTCCTAATCAGTTAGGAAGATGACGCTTTCATAAAACATAAAACTTATTTATTCTGAACAAGTGGTTCTTGTAAGTTGTTTTCATAACTCAGAAGATCGTAGCAGTTGGGAGGTATTCAGGGTTATTTGGCTGTTTAGTTGTTACATCACCGCTGAGGCAACTCAAAACACGTGGCAGATTTAATCTCGCTTTCCCACATACCCTCCGGATTTCGCATTGAGGATCTGTTGAAAATCTCAATCGCATCTTTTGTGTTCCAGTCAGAGCAGTTCCTTGTTGTTCGTGCTGGTAAAGGTTTCCTTGGAGCCACCAAAACGATAAAAAAAACAACAACAAAAAAAAAAACAACGTACAGCTGTGAGGAAAAGCCTGAACACGCGCTGCAAATTCCAGATGATTTACGACACGACGGCCAGACTGTGAACCCCGCAAAGCACAGCTGGGGGAATACATAAAGCATACAATAAAAACATGCAATCTGTGAGAAGCAGCTCTGTTCCTGCTTACCCAGAGCAGGAGAGGAAGACCGAGTCAAACATTATGAATGTATTTTAATACCGTTGGCGACAACAACCCGGCAGGGCGGCAACAAGGATTTTTACAGCCTTGAAAGTGAGTAATGTAGCCCTGTTTGAGGAGAGAAAGGTGCATTTTACAACGTGAAAAACAAACAAAAATTATCAGTTTATGTTTAAGAGCTGTAATTAACAGCACTGAAACATTATTTTAGTATTATTCTAGTAGAGAGAGAAAATGGCTTGTATGAAAAATCATTTAATCAAATCACTGCTGCTGAAAATAGCAGACTTTGAGACGTATTGCCTTAGTAACAACATCCACGCCCTAGAGTGTTGCTACCCTCCAACCTGTCAGCACTTACATATGCAAAATTCACTGCTTGGAGAAAAATTTGATTTCTGAATTTCTGCCTGCCTGATCAAGATGAGGAAGGTCTGATTTCTGTAGCCAGGTCTCTTGATGCATAGCTAATAATTTCTCCTTGAACCACATGCATTTATTTATTGGTCTTACTAACAAAAGGGAGAATAAATACATATTTCGTAGTATCATATTTTTATTTTCCATTTGATAATTTTTCCAACGATTTTAAATCAGACAAAATACAGTTTTAAATGACAAAGAATGCTAAAGTTTGTTACAAGTGACTGATAGGTTTCACATTGAGGATAAGTGTTTAATATTTTCAAATTAAAGGTACTATGTAAAGTAAATGCAATTGTTTGCATCAGGTGTGCTGAACATACAAGTAGGGCAGTGGAGCCTGAGGACCAGGGTTAAAAATCACTGCAATGATATACTTTTCATATTAAATTTAAAAACAGATTAAATATGTTCCACATTTTCTGATTCCCTCATAAAATGTAGCAACATTCATCTCTACTGTATCATTTTAAGGTTTAGTTCAATCTGTTTGCATGACTTCTTTTTACATAACTGTTAATAATTAAGCTAACATACCTATAAATAGCAGCCAAAACTTTGGGACTCACAGTGAAAGGACTGAACTGTTTAGTAAATGCAGAGGGGGCACAATTAGACCATCAACCCCAGCGGTGTACTCAACAATTATACGCCACTGTATCTTAAAAAAAAAAAAGCGTAGAAACAACAGTGACAATACAGTTCACCAAGTACTTCAACCCGTTTGTTCACTTATTTACTTTTAGCAAATTAAACAAAGCAAAGTGTTCGGCGTCTCTCAGCTCTGGAGCCTGTTATGAACAGTTAACGGTACCCGCTAGCCCTGTTAGCTCACATCTAGCTCGCTGGTTAGCTTGCACTTCCCCAGTTGTCTTGACTTGACACTTGGTCGCATCTTGATTTCCGCTAACCAAAAAGATAAGCCGCTAAACAGGATTCGTTCAGAGGATAACACCACTAATAATACTTGGACGGCTTGTCCAGAAAATGAATATGCGCCTACCTTCCACCTGCTGTGCCCACAACAGACCTCATCAACCTTGGTTTCCCTTTAAAAACATCGTTTTCTTAGCAAATGAAGCTAGCAGTGGAACTAACTTCCTGTTACGCCTGTCAAAATTAAGCGTGAACGCGGAGTTTCTTTTTTTTTTTTTTTTTTTAAATAATACTGCGAATGGATATTTTTAAATATTATTTTTTACTTTATTACGTTTGTGTAAATGTAAATTTGTTTGCTCTGTAATGTTTTCACCAGGTAACAAGGTGTTTAATCACTTACATAAAGAGGCAGGATGCCTCTCACTTTTACACAAGAAAAGGAAACAAAATGAAAACGAACATTTTTAAGTCTATTTTTTACGTACATTTTTTTGGTCAAAATGTCAATTCTTCATGCTTTTGGTTGCAGTAGCCTGACATATGTGACGCTTTTATTTTAGCACAATCCCATAATCTGATTCAAGTAAGTAACTTTACAAAGATCTCCCTGCTTTCAGGCCCTGCTCTGCATCTTTGCCATCAAAGTAGATGAGAGAATGAAAGGAACGATTTTGCACCTTTTTTATTTGCTCTATGAAATATTTTAATTAAACAGTTTAACTATACTGTTTATTCATGTTAGCAATATGCAGAGCAGCAGCTGCCCAAAGAAAGCTCCTGCCAGGGGTCGAGATAGGGTTAGGATTTTTTAAGTTATTATTTTTTTAATCAGGTTACACACTTCTTCCTACAGCAGTTTCTATACACTCATCCAACTGTAATCCTCTTTAAAACTTGCCTATTGAAATGTTTTTCTTGTCCAGCAGCAAAAATATTCAAACATAACTGAATCCATTCATTTATGCCCGCTCATCTCCAGCAGTCATTGTGTGACAGGCAGGGTATGTCTTGGATAGTTTAGTCCAACACAAAGGCTCACAGGGCAACTAACCACACACACACACTCATTAATATCAAAAGGGATTTATTTTTTTAGAGTAATTGCAGTTTTTAATACAAAGAGTCCAAAATAAATTGTGAAATGCAAGAAGTAGCTGGTTGTAGAATTAACTCAAATGAAGTCGATAAGTACATGTTTTTATCATTACTAAGATGGCCTCATTGCAATTTGTTTGAAAAACTAAAGGAATTATGATTGAAATAATTGTTGTTTCATAACGGGAAAACCATCAACACAGCTGTGGACCATCATCTACAGCTATTAGTATTTACTGTAAACACTAGAGAGAGAGTCTGCAGGGGTTTGTTTTCTTTAAGAGCTGTGAGGCTCCCATCTGCTGGAGGATGAAGACATTACATTGTGCACGTTAAATACACATTAATGTTTCCTTTTACGTTCTTCTTTTTTCCAGGTTTTAAATAAGCAAGGAGAAAATGTTTAAATTGACCTAGCAGATTAATAGCCATGTCTGACCAATATTTTCTTGGGACAGTAACACAATAATATTATTTTCTGTTTTGGGCTTCTTTAGATCTCCTATAATCCAAAAAGTATTTGCAGGAACACTAGGTTCATTTCACCATCCAAGGACAAGCATGCTAGGTTATTTTGTCAATCAAATAATGCCGTTAAGTTTTAATGCATCATTTTTTGTCTCACGTGTCTGTATTACGGCTGGGCAATACATCAATAACAATATACATGTGATCAGTTTTAATAGATAACACATCTGATAGAATATTCAATATATAGAATATTCACAGAACTCTGATCCAGAGCCACACAGCATTCTGGGAGATGAAAGGCTTTAGCTGCTCAACCTGTGATAAACTGTGGATGAAACAGAAAAGGCCGTACCACCAATTTGGCAGTATTTCAGATTTTTAAAACAAAAATCTAACCAATAATTATCGACGTCAACAATTATTGATAGACTAATATGAGAGGCTTATATCCATGTTATATTTTTCAGCCATATTTTCCATGCACAGTTTGTATGTCGCTTTCTGACGCACTACTGACCAACCCACATTTGACAGCTCTAACATAAGAAATGAATCACGTTGGTCTTGCCCACCATTCTAGGCCAATTTTATAACCAAATCCTGTTGAAAAATAAACACAGTTCTGGATCAGTCTATCACTGACCCAGCAGTTATTGTGGTTTCATTTACGTCCCCCCGATCAGCTCCGTCTCTTCCCACACTACTGTATAAATACTATCTTATGGGACTCTTGGCTGTACTAACACATAATAGCCTGACAAGATGGCAGCTAAGTATTCCAAAAGCCTGAAATGATTCTGTA